CGGGCGGATACTTTGACCAGGGGACCATTTTTATCGAGCGGGTACCTTTTTAGGGGATACATTTACCGGGCGGACATTTACCGAGGGACACTTTACCGAACAGATACTATACCGGGAGGGCGTTTCACCGGAGAAGCTTACCGAAGGCGAACTTACGAACCGAAGCGGGCCTTCCGAAGAGGTACAATCCGAAGCGGGCCTTCCAAAGAGGTACAATCCGAAGCGGGCCTTCTGAAGGGGTACGATCCGAAGCGGGCCTTCCGAACAGGTACTATCCGAATCAAGCCTTTCTGAAGAGGGCACCTGAGCTAGGCCCCCTAAAGAAGTGACCGCGCGAGGGTATGGTCACCGTAGATCTGAAGCTCTGGCCTCGATGGGCGAGGGAGGCTACGTCAGACACCGGGAGCTCGAGCACGGTCCCTTGGATCGACGGGCACGATACAGGCGACACCCAATCGGGAGGAGGATTAGGGGACGTTTGTTGACTACGTCTATAGGAACTCAGATGGATTTTCCAGACACAGGGATAAGGTGCACCGCTGAGGCCGGAACGAGTGTTTTTCACCCCATTGTTTTGGACTGAATGCAAGTACTTCTTTTATTTCTGCCAGATAGTGTCCCATGAGTTTCTTCTTGCATCGATCACGGTCAGCTACGGTACTTGTTTTCGTGGATGTGGACTGACATATTTTGTGCAGGTTACAGGAGCCCCGACCTACCCTCCCGCGGGTGACAGACGCGGCGCGAGACATAGGGTTTGGACGGCGTGCCGGCAGACCCCTTTTACCGGTCGACAGTGGCGCCGTTGCCGGGGAAGGCTGCCTCTCGGGACTTCGGTCTGCTTGTAACCACGGGTACGTGAGAGGACGAGACTGCGACGGAGACCAGTACACGCTACGAGCGGTCAACCTACCGGTGGTCAGCAGACGACGAGATATCGAGCGATGCGACACTTTGTCGGCTTGCGATCGATCCGGTGAGATTGTGATTTTCGCATTTCGTGATTTCGTCTTGCATTTCCTTTCTGCTATTTCCTTGTGATTTGAGAGGGTCCTTCTGATCTTCCCACCCCATTTGTCAGTCCACCCTGATATCAATTTCAAGAGAGAAAATTGTAAGCAGGGGAAGAACTTGAAGGGTCTAAAGGGGAGGGGAGAAGCGCCCCGGATTGCAAGGATTAGACAGGCTAGTGGATTATGATGGATAGCTGGGGGGATTGATACACTACACGAGTCGGGATGAGAGACCATGCCTGAGGTGGGAATGAGTAGAGGCATGGATAGGAGCGAGAATGCACGAGTGAGACACCGCCTTCTTATCCGCATGTGACTTCGGTCCACCCTCGAGCACATGAGTTGGCCAGCTCGTGCTCAGGTCGCGGTAAGAGAGGTAGGCCAGCGATGATGGTACACTGATCCGACCTCTTCCTTGACACGAGGGTAGGGGGAGATACGCCAGAGGGCGGTTCTCTCCTGGGCCTGTTGACGCCTTGGAGGGTTGCAGGAAGGATCAGAGGGGGCCTGTCGTGAGGGTCTATGAGCTCAAGTGTCCGAGAGTCGCACAGGGAGAGATTTATTGAGGGCTCCGCGTGGTTTCTTGATTAGGAATGGTATATATCGAACCGGCTTCTCAAGTATCCTTGGTCGGGGACAGGGGCTCTTGCAACGTGATCAGCTTGCCACTAGAAGGGAAGAGCAAATACAGACCTACCAGAGAGGAGGGGTTAATAGTCCGAAACGGTGTTTTCCTGTGGGTGAGAATAGAGGCCGAAACCAGGGCCTGTGACAGGAGAGACAGGGAGGCAACGCCCTTACGAGTGGATGTGAGCATGAGGCTGTACTTGTCGAGGAGAGAGTGGGAGTGTCTCGTGATAGATACTGCCAGGCGTTATCGAACCCTCCTCTGTTTGGCAGAGTTAGGTCGGAAGTTTGGTGCCTAGATCTTTAGAGAGTTCGCTCAGGGGAGTGAAGTAGATACCGTTGCAGTCTACACTGTGAGGTTTGCATATGACTGGGAGCTTCCTAGAGCGACCTCTGTGAGGTCGGAGACGGTCCCTAGGTTTTTGACGGGGCTGATTTTCGGTACCTGAGTGGTGCACCAGAGACTCTTAGAGGTAGTACAGAGAGCGATCCGACTGGGGACGTCTACTGTCGAGCTTAAGTGGCTCCTTACTTATTGCTTGGACAGGCCTGTTCCCACTCATAGAGAGCTACGCCGTATTGTGTTTCGCACCCGAGAGGAGCTACGAGAGACCGAGATAAGTGGAGAGGTAAATAGGACCCGGATACTGAACGGAAGGGCGGACGACACCTACATGTCTCACTGTAGGGTCGAGCAACCTTTTAAGCCGGTCTGTGACTCGGCGCTTCTGCGCCCGCCCGCTGGCGCGCGCCTGTCCTTCGTTCATCCGCCTTTGATTGAATCTCCTCACTTTGGCGTCCCGAGCATAGAGCTAGAACCACATTCCGCCTAGTTGTATAGAGTATGACACCTGCAGTCAAGCTCAACAGGGTCCTTTTTCACCTCCGATTCTTCCTAGCCCATTCCCTCGGCTGCGGTTTCGCAGCATGGTAGATAGGGACAATGGGAACCTCATTAATCCATTCATGCGCGTCACTAATTAGATGACGAGGCATTGGCTACCTCAAGAGAGTCATAGTTACTTCCGCCGATTACCCGCGCTAAGTTGAATCTCTTCTCTTTCACATCCAAAGTGCTGGCCAGATACCACACTGCGCCAGCATCCGTTGAGACCATCGCGCTGCCTTGTACGATCCGCCTATCCCCTCGGTTCCAAGCCTCTCTCTCTCTCTCTCTCTCTCTCTCTCTCTCTCTCTCTCTCTCTCTCTCTCTCTCTCTCTCTCTCTCTCTCTCTCTCTCTCTCTCGCTTGTGTGCAGATATGCGCTCCCTTAGCCCGCTTGCGGCTTTGCCGACCCGCGCTCAGCTCGATACCACCTTCGCGCACCCAGGATCGATCTGCGTCGCTCTGCCGTTCGAGCGCAGCTCCCTATTCGCGCGCGAATGAATCTGGCGCTCTTCGGGGGCCAGGTTCATTCGAGTGACCTTCCACGTATCCTCTCTCTCTCTCACTCTCTCCCTCTCTCTCGCGCGCGTCTGCGCCCATAGCCCGTGCAGATTTGCGCGGCCCCGCCCGTGGCCTGCGCTCCCTCTCGCAGGTCACCGCTTTCCTGCGCGGGCAGCGCAACTCCTCTAGCCAGCGCGCGGCTCTCACCGCTTGCGCGCGAGCTCCAATCTCACTCGTGGCTCCGCTACCCCGCGCTTCCTTCC